TGCCCGCGGGTGGGTTTGGCAGGGCAGGGGGATGCGGGGCTGTGTCCGTGCGGGGCTCGGGCCCTTCTCCCCGGGGCTGGATGGGCAGCTCAGCCCTGCTGCGAACCTGGGCCGGTTTCCTGCGCCCATCCCGGGTGTCACGGGGCTGGAAGGGGCTGCTGGTGCTTCCCCATCCCTGCCCCCATCCGTCAGCACTTGGCACCATCTCCTTCCCTGGCCGGGGAGCTCTGGGTTTTTGGGGTTCTGCAACGCTGAGGGAGCAGGGAGGGGGGTTCCTGCAGCCTCTGTCAGCACAGGGCGCTATTGCCATGGCAACGGTGTCAGAGACTGCCTGGATGCAGCATCATCCCTCTGGCATCTCCTTGGGGAGCTCTGGGGCTTTTGCATGATATTGGGCACCCTCTAGCAAGGGCTGTGTAACAGAGGACAGGGTGAGGACAGTCCCTGGGAGCTGGCAGGGGAGGTGGCACAGTTACTGTGATGCAGCTGGGTCTGCTTGTGGTGCACATCCCAGCCTGCTGCCCTGGCTTCGTTTTCAAGGGCCTGTTACATCTTTTGGCAGCAGGAGCAGCCACCAGGCTCACACTAGACAAAGATCTAGAAGGTTAAAGGGATAATGTTGCCAAGGAGAATAAAATTTCAGGTGTCCCGAGGCTGCTCTTTGCTGGGATCCCATAGTCTGAAGAGATGGGATCCCACTCCCTTAGCTGCCTCTTCAGGTTGACAAGCAGCAGGGCTGGGCCTCTAGAAGGGCAGAGAGGAACCAGCTAGAAGAAAATGCTGGAGGGCTGAACCAGAGCACTTCCCAGGGGCTGGCAGAAACTCCCCAAATTAGTGAATTCAGGGTTTTCTGCCCAGCAACCAAAAACTTTTTTTTGAGGGGAAATTCAGAAAGAAGGCTGAAAAGCAGAGAACTACTTGCATGTTTTCTTGTGTTGCACAAGAGCCTGAGGCACCGTGGAGGACCCTGGGCAAGGCTGTGTGTCCCCTCAAACCTGGTTGCCTGTTAACTTTGCATCTCCTTCAACGTGTCAGGTGTTCCCCTGTCTCTTCCCTCAATGACTTGAGAGGATGCTGTCCCCTGGGGGTGCAGGGATGGTCTATTGCCAGCCCACAGCAGTTGCTGAGTGTCCTTCCTTTGGTTGCTGGGGCCCAACAGGGCCCACGTCCCATCGAGCTCCCATTGCAGGGCAGGTTCTGTGCTGTACAAACTCTCTGTGCTGTCTAATCTCTCCCTCCTCCCCTCTGCCTTTCTACACAGCTCTCTGTGAACAACAAACCCCCCAGCTCCGAGGGGCAAGGGGAGAAGAAGGACAATGCCACAGCTCCACCAGCTCCTCCGACCTATGAGGAGGCAACAGCAGGAGAAGGGATGAAGTCTGGAGCTTACCCACCTCCCCCATCAGTCCCACTCCACCCCAGCTGGGCTTATGTCGACCCCAGTAAGTCCTTTTGTGGCTGTACCCAGGGTGAGCCCCTTGCAGAGATGGGGAGAGGGGTGCAGAGATTCCCCCTATCAGCTTGTGGGGAAGAGGGGAAGGAACCAAGGATGTGGTACCCAGTTTGGTCCATGGTAGAGCTCACCCTAGACCTGTAGCTACAAGCCATGGAAGTCTAGATGTGTCAAAGCCATTTCACCCAACCACTCGACCTCAGGGCCTTCCAGAGCAGGACTGAACTCCAGTGCTCTGTCCCTGCTCTCCTTCCCAGAACCGGGATGGGAAAAATCCCCTTTCCCAGCTTATTGCACTGGGCAGGGGAGAGTCCTGGGTGATGCTCCCAGCTCTGCCAGCAGCAGCTCTTGCTCTAGCTCCTGCTCAGCCCAGCTTGCAAGGAAGCTGCTGAACTGGCAGAATCCCTGTGGCAGCATCAGTGCTGTGAACCCGTGTTCAGAGCCCCGGGGGCTCAGAGCTGGCTGGGCTTGAGTGCTGAATTGTTCCAGCAATGGACCAATGGCAGACTCCTCAGACAACAGCTTTTCTTCTCTGGGTGCTGCCTGCAGCTTCTGCTGGGTCCTGACAAGCAGACAGAGGCTTGGCTGTGCCCAGCGGAGGGAAGGGCTGTGTCCCAGCAAGCTGGGATGCATGCTGGTGGCCAGCAAGCCAGGCTGCTGAGTGGCCAACTGAGCTCCTGCCAGCATGGCTGGACTGGAGGGAGCACTGGAGGGACTGGATTTAATGACTCCTGAGTCCCCTCTCTGCTCAGTCCTCTTCCTCTGCTGTGCTTTTGCTGACTCCCTGTTCTGTCCAGTGGGGATGGTCTCAGCTGCAGGGATGGAGATGTTTATGGAAGGGGAAAGAGCCAGCTAAACCCCTCTGAGATGTGTCTGCCTGCACACTCTGATGGTTTTACTGGCTTTTCCTATTCTTGTTTGCCTTCAGGGGTCAAACAGAGGGATAAATAACCTCCCAGCTTGCTGTAAATACCATCTGGGCCTTTCCAGTGTCACAACAAATTAAGATGGGTAAAGCCCAAGGGGGCTGGCATTTTGGGTATCCCAGAGGAGTTTTTTAGGTGATGTGTCATCTCTTGTCCCCTCCCTGACATGCCTTGCAGGATTCCCTTCCTGCAGCTGTGTCCTGTGCCCTGATCCCTGCTGGTGTTTTCCTTTTATTTCATTACCCCTCTCTTTTCCCTGCCCTCAGCCATGCTGAAGCTGTGGCTCCTGCCAGGGTCCCAGGGGAGGGACGTGCCATGGGGCTGTACCTAACAGCTTATATGAGACTGGGAGTAACTGGAGAGAAGTGGCATGTGATGTGTTTGGGGTTACTTGCTTTAATAATGAGCTTGGGACACACTGTCTTGCTGCCTCAGATGTGGTCATGAGTGGGAAGTGACACTAGCCAGGGAGAAGGAAACCCCCTCCATTCTTCCAAGGTGTTTAGGTGCCTAATTTGGTGTTTAGGTGCCTTGATTGCTGTGAGGCAGGAGGCACTGAAGTGTCCCTGGGAGGTGGGCCTCAGGTGCCACGGGCCACGTGGGTGATGACAGATCTCACAGCAACGCAGGGAGGATGAGCTGCAGGAGTTTCATCTCCACTGGGGCATAGAAGAAGACACAAGAGATTTATTTGGCACAAGAAGAGCACAAGGGATATAGTTCCTTCCAGGGACATCTTTAGGAAGAGGCTGGTGAAGGGCCTGGAGAATAAATCTGATGAAGAAGGCTGGAAGGAGCTGGGAATGTTTAGTCTGAGGAAGAGGAGGCTGAGGGGAGACCTCATCAGTCTCTGCAACCACCTGAAAGGTCATTGCAGAGAGGTTGGTGCTGGTCTCTTCTCACAGGTCATTAGTGACAGAGCAAGAGGCTTCAAGCTGCACCAGGGCAGGTTCAGACTGGACATTATGGGAAAGTTGTCACAGCAAGAGTGGTCAGACACTGGAACAGGCTGCCCAGGCAGGTGGTGGAGTCACCATCCCTGGATGTGTTGAAGGGTCCTTTGGATGTGGTGTTGGTGGAGGTGGGTTAGGGGAGAGCTCTGTAGAGTAGGGATGATGGTTGGACTCAGTGATCCCAAGGGGCTTTTCCAACCTGAATGGTTCTATGATTCTATGACTTTGACTGGTAAAACCCTGGACCAGAGCCTTGAGTTTGGCCTTCCTGGTGTCTGCAGCCTGACCTTTGAGTTTGAGAGGGTCTTCCCTCCATCTGCCTGAAGGATCTATCACTGAGCTAAAAAGCTTTTAGAAGAAAGGGAGGCATCTGTCAAACAGGCAGGGACATGAATGTGTGTAGCTGGTGTAATTGCCTGAGCCTTTATTCTGTAGGAAACCCAGGCAGGGAGACTGTTTGTAACATGGAAGAGGATGTTTGCAAGAGAAGCAAATAACACGGGAATGATGATGCACTGAGACAACTGAGGCTTTTGTTTTATTTGCTTGGGCATGAGGCTGAGGAGATGGAGAAGGCTGATTCTTGCATTTAATTTGTGCAGCTGATCTCAGCAGGGGGAGGCTGCAGCTTTGGGTTTCTCTTTGCAGCTCCCTGCCCTGCAATATCCTTCAGCCCTGGATGTCAGCACAGGGAAAGATTTTCTGATGTTTTCCTCCCATCTCCCTTCAGGCTGCAGAGCAAACTGGTGCTTTATGGTGCAGCCTCCCTCCTTGCCCATCTGCAGTGAAACTCCAGCAACAAGAGCTTTTATTACAGAGGAAGGCAGGGCTGGGTTGTATCATGCAATGATTTTGGGGGAAGTGCTTTCAGGAGCAGCACTGGGATTTTTTCCCCCTCGTTGGGTTTGCTGCTAAACTGGTCTCCAACTCCCTGCATGGAGATCAGATTCAGGGGGGGACCTGATGGTAAAGTTGGCTGTTAACAGCTTCTCTCAGGGCACCCTGTTGACATAAGACATGATGCAGACACAGCCTGAGCTCAGTCAGTTACAGAGCAGGGAGGGATTCCTGATGGGAATGGCCGAGGTGCAGAGTCACTGCCCCTCTGGGGGATGCTTGACTGTTCAGTGAAAGGTGAGCAAGGATATGATCAGAGTCCTGCAATGGCCATTAAAGGCAGAGTGTTGCCATGGACAGGAATGAGCCCTGCTGTGCTGGTCGTGTTGGAGTTTGCAGAAGTGGTTCCCCCCTCTGTTCCCAGAGAAGGTCCTGATAAGGTGCAGGAGTGGGAAGGGAGCAGAGGGCATCCCAGCACCCCTGGGCTTTGCAGTGCAACAGGAAACCTTGAAACTTGGGCCTCCTGAGCTGGGGTCAATCACTGGGGTCAGATTCCTGCAGGGAGGGAGCTGGGTGATGGGAGCTGGGTGATGGGAGCTGATCTGTCTGGCTTCTGCTGCAGGCACCAGCCCCAGCTATGGCAGCAGTGGGTACCCAGGGGACACAGAGATGCTCACAACCTTCAGCTGGGATGACAGGAACGTGCGCAGAGTGTTCATCAGGAAGGTAAGGGGCACGTCTCACCAGGCTCAGCCTTCCCCTCTGAAGGCATGAGGCCAGTTCTGAGCCCTGGGAGAGACCTGGCTGCAATGGCCTTGCTGTCTGTGCTAGGCTGGGTGGGGAGCAGAGAGTGAGGGTCACCCATGGGCTGCCTCTCATTACAGGTTTATACCATCCTGATGGTCCAGCTTTTGGTCACTGTTGTTATTGTGGCTTTCTTCACCTTCTGGTAGGTCTCTTGTGTAGCAGTAATGCTTGCTTTGTCCTGTGTGTGACCTGCTCTTGAATTACCTGTTACTTGGGAGTGTTATCTGTTATGTAGATACCTGATTTTCTTTCCTATGTGCTCCAATAAAAAGAAAGAGAACTGAAGGAACCCTGAGAGGTCCTTCAGAACATCTGCTGCCTTTCCTGCATGTCCCCTGGATGATACATCAACCCTTCTGGGTGCTATCACCAGCCAGGAGGTCTGGGCTGCTTGCCCTTGAGTATTAACTGCAGTGTTTTCCCTTTGGGAGTTATCAAGGCCATCAGATCCCACCCCCCCCTGGGCTCCAGGGACTGACTGGGTCACCTCCCCATGCAGAAGCAGATACCCCACACTCAGTGGCTGCCTCTAGCTCAGGTGTCTGAGTCATTTGGGCATGTGCAGCTCATGTTTCCTCCAGAATAAATAATGAATCACTGTCAGCCTGAAGATTTCAGCTCCTTAACCATGTCTCAGAAGGCAGTGGCTGCTCCCCAGCAGGCCCAGCTGTGGCTCTGGTAACAGCAGGGCTGTCCTTCAACCTGACAGGTTGAATTTCTTTCCACCTGGTCATTCTGCCAGGTAGATTCTGCCATGGTTTTATTTCCACATCCCCTGTGCTACATCCCCCCATGCATGTTCCCAGGTTTAATTTAGCAGCAACCTGTGAAGTGACCAACTTTTGAATGCTTTCTGCTCAGCATCCTGTTTCTCTGCCTTGCAGTGAGCCAGTCAAGGGCTACATCCAGACACACTCTGCCTGGTACTGGGCTTCCTAGTGAGTATCTCTGTCTTCTCCTATGGCCATGTACACTCCAAACAGCTCTGGATGTGACTGTGGGGATCTGGAGACACTTTCCAAACACTTCTGTGTCTTGCATGTGAGGAGCTGCACTAATGTGTGTGCAGGGGGAACTGGGGAAATTCACGGATTGCTGAGGTGGGGAGATAGAAAACTTCACCTGAATGAGTCTGAGACGTGGAGTATGCTAGGTATCTGCAGTTCCTTTCAAAAAGAGAGCTTGCTGCTCCACAAAGGAAGCACAAAGTAGATACACGAGTGTTTCTTGCAGAGCAAACAAGGTAAAACTGGGGAGCTTCCAGCAGAACAGTGCAGAAACCCAGATGTGAGACCAGAAAGGGTGTCCAGGGCACCTGAGAGGCTGACTTTGGGTTTGTCCCAAGGAACAAGGGAGTCACTTGTGTTGACATTGAAGGCCTTGATACACAGCAGATGAAGAGGGGTGCAGGCAGTGCTAAGGGGGAGGGATGCACGTGGAGAGCTCGGGATGCTTGGGGGCCTCTCATGGCTGCATCTTCATGGCAGAGCTGCTCTGGTGCCCAGAACGTGGGATGTTGTTTTTCAGTCAAGCCTGGTCCAGGGGTGAGCCTGGGGTCAGTGCAGGCTCTGTGTGTGTGTCTGCAGCTCTGCTGGTTTCCTGGGTGCTGCTCATGTTAGTGCTGCTAATTAAGCAGACAGTGGGAGATGCAATTGTTGGTGAACAAAGCTCCGTGAACTTGACTTTAATTAGTTCACACCCAAATCATGAAATGTGTCCAGGCCCAGAGATGAGACAACAGCTTATATAACTTTGAAAAGACCCAAAATAGCAGTAATCAAAGGGAAGAGGCATAGTGTTGCCAGTTCAACCTTAAAGGAACATGCTGTGCTGCTCCTCGGCCAGCTGGTAGGTTGGAGAAGCAGCATTTCCTTGTTAGGAGACAAGACCAAGCTCTGCTCAGGTCTATGCTTTGACCTTTGGGGTCATCTCCTGTAGTTCACTGGACAGTTGGTGTTTATATTGTTCAGTAGCAACAAACCTGTCTCAGATCAGCTGTACTTGAGGGACTTTAAATTTAGTCTGACCTTTCACCTTCCAGCAAGCCAGCCCATCCTGCCATCCCAGTGTCTCCAATTGCTTGTCCTGGTCTGGACCTGGATCTGTTTCACACACAGAGACCCCCCCAGCTCTCTCTGTACCTCTGTAAAATAGAAGTGGGTGCCCTGAGGTGTTTTCCTACTTTCCACCTTCCTGGTTTGACGGCTCAGAGGACCCAAAGCAAGAGCAGATGTGCAGCAAGGGCTGCACAGGAGACACAACTGCCGTGGCTCGTTGCTCCCCACGTGCTTCTTCCCATCTATTCAGCTGTGTCCACTCCAGCTTTCCTGGTTTCCCTGTGGGAGAGCAGTGCTGGGGTTTATCTCTGTGCGTTTGCCATGGCCCGTGGGTTCTGCCGTCACGTTCATTTACGAGGCCCAGGGTGAGGGGCTATCAGGGCATCGGCGCGCTCGGCAGCCGCCCCGGGCGCTGGGTGGGGGCAGGAGAGCAGGTTCCCTGGGCCAGAGCCCATCAGCTCTGTGGAAAAACACCCGGGCTGCGTGACGGCCGGAGCAGAGGGACACCATCCCTCAGCTGTTGGATTGCTGGGCTGTGCTGAAGGGCCAAGGAATGCGAGATAAACAGCCCTGCTGTGACCTGGGGGTGGCTTGTGCAACAGCACATGGGGCTGGGGGCTGAGCTGCACCCTCCTCAGAGGATCCTTCCTCTGCTGAACTCTTGAAGTGCTGCTGCACTAACGTGGGGCCAGTTCCATTCTCTGACACAGACTTCCCCTCTGCCCTTGGGCAAGTCACTTCTACCAGCCCCAAGTGCAGGACACCTTGATCCCACCGAGCCAGAAAGGGCCTGGAAGGGAAGGGCAAAGTCTGGACACCTCCAAATGAGCAACTCATGCAGTGCTGAGGCATCAACAGCAAACACGTTTGGGTGCTCCATCTATCCAGGGCCACCCTTAACTCTGCTCCAAGACCATCCTTCAGGTTTTTCAGGGCTGTACCACCTTGTCCCACCTGCCAGCTGGAGACTCCTCTCCTGCATCAACACACACTGCTTGGGTTTTCCTCCCTAAACTGCTCTTTGTCCTTTCTTTGCAGTGCTGTTTTCTTTGTGACCTACTTGATTCTTGCTTGCTGCTCCGGCCCCAGGTAAAACATTTTCTTCTTGGATTTGAAACAGCCCTGTGAAAAGAAGGATTAATATTCTGCTCTTGTTTCAAGCATGACCAGCAATGATGTAGAGATGGGGTCGTGGTGACACAGTGATGTACAGATGAGATGGCAGCTGTATTTTTAGGCCTGATGCCGTTGTGGGCTGCAGCAACACAGCATTAAAACCTGAGCTCAGCTCCCAGCTGGGAAGGAAGCAGTAACTGCAGAGCTGCATTGCTGTGTGGCTCCAAATGCTCATCACTAAACCCTGCAGGGGAGCAGGGCACTGCTGTCTGCTTTGCTGGAATATCATGGGGAAGTTTTCCCTCCTGATCTAGCAGCACCCCAAATGCTGTCTTATTCCCAACAGGATGACTGTCCCCTTGCACCACCCCTGCCATTTGCTGCCCAGGCCATTAATTATGTGGCATTTCTTATGCAATGTGTTGTGCAGTGCTGCTGACTGCTCTGCCCTCCACCTGGCAGGGCTGACCAGCCTCTGTTTGTTTATTTGCAGGAGGTATTTCCCATGGAACCTGATCCTGCTGAGCATCTTTGTAAGTAGCACATCTGGACAGCATCTGCCCTGCCCCTGCAGCAAGCCCTGGGTTTCAGAATGGCTCCAAGCAGGAGAGGTGCCTATTCTGGATTAGTGCAGAAAGCAGGAATTTCCTCCTCTAGTCATGCTGCACTTGGGCTGAGGAGCTGTGATTGAGCTGGAATGTGAAGAGCAGGAGAGAAAGGAGACTCTGTGGAAAAAATAATAAAATGCTGTGGTGGGTGCCTGGTGATGGGAGCTGGGGGGGGGGGGGTGGAGGGCTGGAGTCCTGTGCAAGAGGGGTAGAGAGCTGGAGAACGTAGGACTGCTCTCTTTTAACCTGCTCTGTGGATATTAACCACTGGAGGATCAGAAACCATGGAAAAATGGCTTTTCTTGAGCATGGGTTTAAGAGGCTTCAGTGCCCTTATCACTGTAATTGAAATGTTGGATCTGTTGTGTGTCTTCCTGGGACACAAATGCAGGAGTAATATGGTTCTCTTTCCCTCCCAGACACTCTCCATGGCTTATCTCACTGTGATGCTCTCCAGGTAGGCTGGGCATGTGGTCTCTAGAGGTCTTCAGGTCCTGTGTCCTGTCTTCTCCTGCACAGAAGTTCCCTACTTCTGAGATACACGGGCCACCTGTTCTCTTTGGAGTTGTCCCAGTAGCCACACAAAGCCCGACCTTCCCTTTTGAAAACACTTTCTAAAGAAGCTCTCCAAGACTTCTGGTGGCATCCCCTTCTCTCTCACAGTTGGGGCAGGACAGGGTAGTTCTGGGCTGTGCTAAATCCCATAGGAGAGCACTGGAGGCCAGGGCCAAGCACGGATGGGCTGCAGGGGACCATGCTCTGTGATCAATCTTT